CTATGAGTCAGTTCAGACTTGATGGTCCACCACCATCACCACCACCACCACCACCAAACAACAACAACAACAACCTATAACTTGCTTTTACTGGCTTTATTCCTGTGATACATACTCTTTATAATGGCCTTATTATAAAAAATTCATAGGGTTTTCATCCAATACATATATGATTATTTTCTTTACCATTCTCTTATCATTGAAAATGTAAGTAGCTTCTAGATTTTCACTACGCTAATAATACTGCAATGACCAACTCTGAAAATATAAAGGTTTTATTCCCTCATTGTAGTTTCCCCAAAACAGATTAATAACTACTGGATTAAAAGTTTAAAGAGTAAGACATTTTTAGGGTTTAGGTGGGAAAAAAATCACAGGGTAAATTTACACTGCCATCAGCCAATGTATGAATGTTTGCATTTCTGCTAGTATATGCTATCACATATTGTTTTCATTAATTCATAAGTTAAACCTGTACTTTATGAAGGTTGTATCTAACTATTACTAGAGTTTGGTATTTCCTTTAAATTTAGTTATAAAAGATGGTGCTGCTACTTCAGCAAGAAACCATATTGAGCACAAGTCAATGGTTCAAGGCCATGAAAAAAAAATCTTTAACAAAGTTAATCTATTCACTTAATTACATGAATAGCTGTTACTGTGCTGCATGGTAATTAGGCATTAATGGCAAGCAATTCACATAAGTGAACACAACTACTATTTCTTACACATAGCTACACCAAGCATTCTTAGACTGTGGGAAAAGGCTGCACCAAGGATATGGGCTCTTCTTTGGCCCTCCTAATTATCCTTTAATTTCAACCCAGAAGTGACCCCAGAGGTGAGATTTCTTTTTTCTGCCCCTCTCACCTATGAACTGAGCATCCAGTAGATAGGTTTTGTAAAAGTTAAACACACTGAAGAGTTCAATAAACAAAGGGCTACTAAACTGCTATCTTTTCTCTATGATTAATCCTCAGGGTAAGATTCAGGTTTTAAAAGAAACCTCTGAAAAACTTACAACTTATTTCCAAGCTCTTTTCCCACAGACAAAAAAAGGGTTAAGACATTTTCATTCTCTCATCTTCCTATTTTATTTTACTAACAAGTAAAAGGATAAACAGGAAAACAGTATCTACAAGACCTCTCTCTACCAAAACCTCTTTTCCCAACTGTCTGCATTTTCAAATATTGGATTTTTTTAAAACATTTTAAAACTCATAATTTTGAGAAGATTAAAGAAGCAAGATAAGAATTGCAAGGGTAATTTTTAAAAGGTAAGCAAGAGCCATACTCTAATGAAATTTAATTTTTTTATCCTGGTTTTATAGTCTGAGAATATTTCATTCTAATGCATGCAGAGGGTAGGAATAAAAGCATGGAAAGAACACAGAAGTAAAGAAGTTAAGAAGTCTTCTCAGATTGCTTTAAAAAGGCATAGCTGAAGACAGACTTCAGAAGGCTTTGGAAGATGGAGAGTTATGCTTATAATAAAAATTTGTTTCTATAGACCTTGGGAGTTTAAAAGCACATTCACATGAATCATATTATTTAATCATTACAACAACCTTGTGCTGAAACTGAGACTCAAAGAGATTTAGCAACTTACCCAAAGTCACATAGGTAGTAATTGGCAGAGCCGGGACTCGAACCCAGGTCTTCTGATTCCTCCTGTGCACTTTCCAGCTCCCCTGGAGCTGAAGCAGGCAGGGGCAAAAAGGGAGGTGGAAGTAATTTGCCTAAGACCAGCTTTGACCTTTCCATTTGTTTTAAAGGTCAAAAGGGTACACATTTAGATGTCTTAGTGACCCGCTTTTCACCAAATCCTTCCAGAATATGTCTAGAGAACTGAACATGTTTCTCAGTCTTGGAGTTAAGAATGGCAGTAAATAGTAAACAATGTCAGAAGTACTTCTAACTGTAATTTGCCAATTTTTAAAAATGTATTATAACCAAGAGGCATAGTAATTCTTATTTCAGATAGTAACTTTTCCCATCACTTTTATGATTTAAAGAGCATTACTTTAAAACTGTGTGTTATGTGCCATCGAGTGGTGCTTAAAAATAAAACAATTATAAAAATCATTTTAAAATCTGAGTAAGAACCATTTAAACCTACTCCATGGGAATTGCTTCCCCATCCTAATCATCCTCTTTCTGTGATTATTTCATTAAAGCAATTAAAAATTGCATTCATTAAAGCATTTAGTCATTACAATGGTTAGAATTTTTCACATATTCAGTCTTTTCATAGCCCAATTTTGGTAAGAATCGTTAATGAATGAGAAAGTGTATATGCATCATCATCTTCTTGAGATGTAAATCCTATTCGTTTCTAAGCTGTATCTAAAATGCTTTTAATCAAGGCCTTTGCAATTAATTTTCTATAATAAAACACAGGGTTTCTAGAGGCTAGATTCTTGAAAAGTTAATTTTTCTTAAAGGAATTACAACTTTAATTTTCCATTTTCACAATTTACGTTCTTCCTAAGTTTTAAGCACATTCAGCAAAACATTATTATCTTATTTCCTTTGCTAATGTCTTATGAATATAGGGATATACTTTAAATGCACTGGGCATATTACCAACTGATGATCATTTCTATCTTTTCAGAGCTTTGGTGGCCAAGGGGAAAGAATCTTTTTCTTTTTTTTTTTTTTTTTGGATAAAAAAATCATACCCAGTAGACAGAGAATTCTACCAATTTTTTATTATTTCTAAAATCTGAGCTCCAATACATCACAGTAATAATCTCTAAATATCTTTCCATTTTTGGAAAACTACTATCTACAGAGATGAGAAGTGTAAGCATTAACTAACCATGACATACAAAAGAGCAACCATCGGTACTAGTGTATTTATGCTCAAAGTTTTTAAAGATTTTCTGTGCTTTAAAAGATCCTCTAACCTGACTTTGCACGTCAGGAGTATAGCTTGGAGAATGTAGCTTGAAGTATATCCAACCAGACAGCTAAACGCATCTGAAAATTTGATGAATAAAAATGTGTATACTCTACATAAAATAAAAGGATAAAGGAAAAGATGTTAAGATAAGGTGTATGAGGCAGAGTAAGAAAGGAAGAGAAGAAGAGGGGGAAATAAGCTTACCAGATAGGTGTAGGAAGAAAAGATTTAGTACTAAATACTAAGTACGAATTACTGAGCATTAATGCTCCCAAGCTCTGGATAGGTCTGTTTTCCTTTTCCCTTTCAGATTTCAATGCTTTATGTTGAAAATGGTCTAACGCCACATTCTTTTGAATATTAGCTAAATTTAGAAGTGACTGATTTACAATGTTATGACCTCCTCCCGAAAAATTAGTACAATTTTCTTCAGATATTTAAGGAGACTACATGAGCATTAACACTTAAAAAATAACAAGTATACAATCTTAGAATTTTAATATATAAAAATAGAATTAACTTGATTTTTAATTTTTTATTTTTCTTTTTAATTTTTTAATTTTTATTGATTTACATGCAATTATTTGTATACTTTTATTGGTTTGCTTATATACAGATGGTGTTTCATACTATTCTTCATTTACATTGTGTTTTATATAATCATTCTCATGCATTGTTTTATAAAATTAATCTAATATCTTTTGTATAATAAGCTATTATTCAGACCCTAGTTCCCTAATAATATGACTTGTCAAATATGAGCATATATTAAGCAAAATGAAAAAGTAAATACAAAGTTTCCAAGATTAACATGAGTCCTAAGAAATCAATGTTAGACTTTTTAACCTATTTCTTGGCACTATACCTACTATTCATTTAACATACTTAACAAAGTTATAATCAAGAACCATCCCAACAATGGTTCCCAGACATAAACTAACTAAGGCTAATGAAGATCTTATCAATATGTTTCTTCAGGAAAGAAAGAAATATATCTACTTTTCTATTTTATTCCTTTGACCAAACTGTTGGCTTATTTTCCAAAGTACCTTACAAGATTTCTTACCAAAAAAGAACTCTATGGATATTTGTTAGAAATCAGACTTGCTTTCTGAGAAGTTCTCTTCAATAATAAAAGGGGTCACTGTGATGGCTTAGTGGTAAAGAGTTACAGTGCCAACTCAAGCTTTTATGGTTCGAATCCACCAGGTGCTGCATGAGAGAAAGTTGGGCACTCTTTTCTAGTGGGATTTGCTGCCTCTTAAAATCCCCTTTGAGTTGATTCCAACTTGGCAGTACTCAACAAGATTACATCAATCACTGGACAAATCATTACTGGTCTTCTTTCAGTGTTTCAAGTACCAAATCAGTCCTTGTGCTAACTCAATATTTGGATTCCATCAATCTCTAAATGAGAGGTACTTTATATCATGTATACTATTTACAGGGATCTTGGTACTTCTGGTAGCTATTGCCCAACAGAATACTGAGCCCTAATTTATAAATTACAAATGCCTGGAAAGGTGCTGTTCCTTGAAATAAAGATATTAAAACACACACACACACCACAAATCTCTCAATTGAGCTCCTTAATGACTTCTAAGGTTCTTAACTCACATGACTTAACAAATAGTATCTGCGGAAAAAAAGAACAAGAGTCAAGAGCAATTAAGTATCTATGTTTGTTTTTCAGGAAGTGTTGAATACAAGCTTTAAACTGATCAAAACAATGTAATTCAAAAATTTCAGGGAGAACACAATACCCTAACAGTAAAAGAGTAAAACAAATGTTGAAATAAAGGAAAAATTTTGGCCCCTTACAAATAATGAATTTTGCATGTTTAATTTTATTTATAAGTAACCAATTTCAGAGTGGGAAAGTCTGCAATCAGGGATCTGTTCAAATTAGTGAAGAGCAATTATGTTAGCTTGAGGACTAAAGTTTGCTTGATTCAGACCATGGTCTTTTCAATGACTTGCTATGCTACTTATTAGAGCTGGACAATTACTAAAGATGACAGAAGGAAAAAAATGGATGTTTTTGAACTGAGGTGTTGAAGAGTACTGAATATCCCATATCCTTTGTTTCACATACTTCCTGCATTTTTCCAGGAAAGGCTATTCCTTGGAGAATGACATCATGCTTGGAAAGGTTGGGGAGGGGGTGGACAGTGAAAGAGAGGAAGACTCTCAACCAGGTGGACTGACACAGTGACTACAGCAGTGGGTTGAGTGTATCAGAAGAGACTGTGAGATGGCATGACATATGACACGGTTCGGATCTATTGATAGGGTTGCTATGAGTTGTACACAACTCGATGGCACCTCACAACAATAATCCCACTCTAGCAAGAACAAATGGGGGGAGAGGAGAGAGTGGTTCAGATTTTTGTCTTAGTAAATTATTAACAAAAAGAAAATCCAAAGGAAAAAAATGGTATTATTTAAAATTGAAAGATAAAGGAAAACCCACTGGAGGGTCACCTATGAGTTGGTCTGAACTCAACGGTACTTAGGAATGTTATAGTGAGAGTCTTCACAAATGACAATTTTCGAAAGCTTTTATGTATTAACTTAAAATTAAACATCACTTAATTACATCTACCGTAAAAAGCTTTATTTTTTACATACTTAACCATGACTACCAATAGTGCTGGGGCTACAATGGTTAACTGCTGCTCACCCAAAGACTAGAAGTTCAAACCAGAAGTTGTTCCACAGTAGGAAGATGTGGCTATCTGCTTCTATATCCTACGGAACAGTTCTAAGTTCTACTCTGTCCCATGATAGAGTATAGATATGCCTTATCCTATGACAGGTTGCTATGAGTTGGAATCAACACAATGGCAACAAGTCTAGTTTTGTTTTATGGCCTAAAAATTTGGAAATATATTTTGTTTCTTTACTAAAAGAAACAAAGAATGTATTTGGTACATGTTTGAGGACAAAGTGCTTTATTGCATATATTTCATCTCTATAACAAAATACTCTATTTTGATACTAATAAGAGGTACAAGAAATCTAAAACAATATATTATAAACATAAACCTTTGTTCCATTTTACAGGTAGGGAATTTGAAAACTAGAATGAAATTAGTCAAGACTATCAATCTCTTATAGAATTTAACAGTTTCATAAAGTGATTAAGCACTCAGGTGCTCTGCTAACTAAACTGTTGGAAATTCAAACCAACCTCATATTCTATAGGAGAAAGACAGGACAGTTGGTTTCTGTAAAGGCTTAAAATCTTAGGAACCCCATGAAATGTTCTATGTCCTACAGGCATGTAAAAAAAATGCAATCAATTTGATGGTAGAAGGATTTTTGTTTTGTATGGTATTCACAAAACAATAACAACAGATAAGAATTCTGTGAATAAATATGTTTATGAAGCACTATATACTATGTAGCTTTCAGCTGAAGAATTAAGTTACTGGTCTCAAGAAGTCCTTTAATTAAAAAAAATACTTAACTGGTTTTTAATCCAGCATTTGTCAAACTGAATATGAAGCAGAACTAGAGCATGTTCTCAGAACATACTTTAAAAATTGTGAGTTAGATAGACTAGGCACACAAAAAAAAATATATATATATATATATACGGATGGATGGATGGATGGATGGACGGACGGAGGGAGAGGAATAGATAGATAGATAGATAGATAGATATAGACTTAATAATGATTTTTTAATATAATGCCACAAACTGTTTAATTAGAACTTCTTCACTATGCTTATCTTAAATCATATGAGTTTTTTTAGAAGGCAAAAAAATGTACTCACTGTTGCAGTAATTCGTTTTCCTTCTGAATGGAGCCACTAAAGGAGTTATTTCAATCCAAAGTGGAAGATTCTTGTCAGCAGTTCCCAAGTTTAATGGAACTGGAAACTCTACAACACCTGAATGTTTCTCACTAGGAGACAGAACAACTTCATTCTTTTCCTAGAGGTGTGATGGTGAAACACGATTCCAGAATAAATAGCACAGATCCATTGATGTTTATCAGGATTAGGATTGGTAAGAAAGCTAGTCTATAGATATTAAGATATATTGCCCAGTAAAGTGGAAAAGTAAAAAATTTAAAAACAAAACAAAAAATAACGCAAAACAAAAACCCCTATGATGTTTGGGAAACAAAATGGAAACTTAAGAGATATGAATAATAAACAGGATGAAGACAGTAATTCAGAGAAACAGTATTAAGCAGAGACACAAACAGGACTATATGACAGAAACAGTAACTGACAGTTCATGTATGGGACAAAATAAAATCTGTATTCTGGGTCCACCCTTAGCCCTCCCACATCAAGGTTCACCATCACTGCCTAAAGAAAAGAAAAACACCATGGGAACTCCATGGCCAAGGGCACAGAGCCCACAGCACAATGAGCAACGTTACTCTTTATGGCCCTTTTGTAGACACAAAGGGATGAGACTCAAAATTCATCAAAGAGTAAAGTACAATGGTATGAATTTTTCTTTTTAATGAAAAATTGTCCCTTTAAAGTTATAAAAATCTTGTTTTATATATTGAGATGAAAATCTACTCAAAGTACATTACTAATATAAAAGTGGTACCTTTGGGAATAAAGAAATAAAAATCGCCAAAATATCCCTCATTTTCATTATTTTACTATTTCCTGTGCAATAAACGTATTAGCAAATTGTTTAAATATCTCTGCAGAGGAAAGGTAAAATTTATTGTAGTTGGAAAAAAAGTTTCTCTATTAAATAATGCAAATACAAACACAAAATTTATTTAGAAGAGAACAAGCCTCAAGTTTACCAATAAAAATGTCAAAGAAAAACAAATTTACTATACATTCTTAGCCCTCTTTGCTATGAATTTCATTCATAAGACTTTCTAAAGAATATTATAAAGGAAAAATTGTATCATACTCAGCATCAATGTACTGCATTATCAATTGATTTCTTAAATAACCAACCTCAAATGCTCAGAAGTCCATACCATGTATTAAATCAGCTTAATTAAAAAGATACTTAGAAGATGAAAATGAATGTAATATTTACTGATTTTTTTAAAAAAAAAGAATGTTGTGGATTTAAAAATATTTATTATAAATTGAGAATTAACATTCAAGAAGCTAAATAACTGGAAGCTCAAATTGTTTTATAAAGTTAAAAAAGTATAATTAAAATTACTTTTAAAAAGATAGTGAATCTCAGGTAATAGTAAATATTAATACTTAATAACATGGTAATACTCTGCCATGTTATTTTGTATTGATGTTTATTTAACTTTCAGGAAAAGGAACAGGAATTAATATGATCTTGGATTTTCTTCACTAAAGGAAAATTCCAATTACCCAGAAGCCTTTAAAGATGTTTGTATATGCGGCTCATCTGTGCAGTTACAATATATTAAGCCATCAAATACCAAAATTCAAACAATATTTCATCCAAGTTGTTAAAATAACATATCATTGTCTTAGTTTTAATTTAAACAGTTAATAAAATACAGCTGTTCAATAATTTAGTAGCTGGGTCTCAGACTCAACATACTCATACACTACATTGAATTGAGTCATCAGGAAGTAAATTTAGATTACAAAGGGTACATATGAATGTATTTAAGCTGACATGTGCATGCATATGTAGTATACTTATGAATGAATCATTTCTCTGTATTAGGAGCTTCCCTATCTCCAATAAAATCTCTTTGTATAATTCACAAAGCCTCCTCTAGGAGCTATGAGAGACTGCATAATAGATGGAGAAGAAAATAAGTACAGAGATTACAGCTAAACTTTATTCAAAAAAACCTTAAAGTTATTGCATGGAGTCCCCAAGTTCCACTGTTCACAATTTGAAATGTACTTTAAATGCAGCCATTCAGTCTTACTCCATGTTTATAATGCGAAATAAAATTAGCACTGCCCAGACAGCAATCTTTGAAAGATTCTCAAAATATGTATGATAAAAGCAAAGATATTTCATTAATTCTGTGATCTTAGCCAAACTGTGCTTTTAATAAAAAATTAAGAATAACAAAACATAACTGATAATTTATTTAAGAATTTATCAGTAAGAATGAAGTCTCTGGACTATATATCAAAGAAATGCTTGTACTTTTTATTGAATACTATTTGGCAGAACTTTATTGTTAGAGAATTATAACCATTTTTTGAAACAAATTTTCTACGTTTTCCTTTAAAATCTGCTATGATATTTTGATATAAAATATAAACTAGCTATAAATGAGTATCTAAAATCTAGACATATTATTATATCATTAATATCATTAACATGACCCTGACTAATACAATTAGGATTCCTTTCTAATCCATTAATGTACATATAGCAACTCTCAACTCTTCCTCATTAAACAAGTTTTATTTTTATGTGGTTCTTTTTAAGTTTTTGTTAATGACACAATAATTTATGGCTCTTTATTAATGTTATCTGAACTAGAAAGGTAACTTTCAAACATTTCCTAAATCATAATCATAAAATAAACTTGGGACACTGTTATATTACTATAAAAATAAAATTTGAGATTCGTAAATCCTTTGCTTAAACATATAAAAAACCTAAATATTTTTAAAAAAGAAGTTCTCCTTAAAAATTTACTTCAAAGAAACAATATAGACAAAAACGTTAAAAATAACTGAAATTTACTGCCTAGCTATAAATGTTCTGTCACATTCATTTTACCTTCAAACAAGTATCTAAAAATTATTTAAATTAAAACCTCAAGATATCCCCCACTTCTATTTTATTTTAAAGACTCAACGTGTAAGAGAAAAATATATCATCATAATCATCACAATTATTTCATAGAAGTAAAATGATTACTTTCTTTTTCTTCTTTGCAAATGGCAGATTTCATGTGGTGTGTGTTTTATTCACAAAGATGTATCGCACACCTAGAACAGTATCAGTTCCCAGAAACACAATTAAAGTGAACATGTAAAAAAACAGTAACAATCTATCTGCCATTTACCAGGGTCACTGCCAAGACAATGAGTATGTATGTTAATGTCTTAGAACTAACTACTAACTTTATCTATACAATTGTAACTATTCTTCTTGGAATAACTGATGAAGGATGATTATTTGGTGTTACCAAGCAGATATTAGTAAACTTTAAAAAGTAAGTTTGGAAACTTTGTATTGTTCTAATACTTTTATTAGGCATAAAAGTCTCAATAGACTATGTATATAAAGGTATGTACTGTTGAAAGTTCATAATATGTCCAGTGAAATAGTGCATTAGCAATTTGTATGTTGTGCAAAACACACACTGAAACATCAGAGGAACCTATCTGGGATGTCCTCATCAATTATTGCCATCACTCCTGCCTCTACTGCTGCTGCAGCTGGAGACAGGAAGAGGAAGGGAACTGTGGCGATGGTGTCAGTGATGGAGGGGACAGGTGCAGCATGGAGCAAGAGGAACCAAGTGAGGAGTGAGCCGAATGCCCCAGACACCAGCTTCTGCAGTCATGCCCTCTGCCTCATCTATATCTGCCGGTCCCATCTGTGGTCTAGTGCAACAAGAATCTGGATTTCGGGGTCTTTAATGGCATTAGGGTAAATAATAAGTAAAAGGAGAAATGCCTTCTTTAAAAAAAAACAAACAACAACAACAAAAAAAAACCAACCCCCCCCCCAAAAAAAAACAAAAACTGCAACCAAACCCAAAACACTAAACAAATCCTTATGGATCCAAAGATGTATGTAGTTGTACTTTTTCCAAATGGAAAAAGAAATGCATAGCTACACTTGGAAAATCAGCAAGTATCTTTTCAGGTTTAGAAGAGTTTTTCAGAAGCAACACTTAAAAAACACACAAGATCTGTTTGGGCAATGGCAGCCGCAGCAATGTATTTGATAAAAAGTTACAAAATATCTGTGGTATATTTTTACTGGTTGACTGGTTTTTAGAACCTCTCACTTTCTCTCTTTCTCTCTCTCTCTCTCTCTCTCTCTCAAATGCCTGCAGACAATACAAATGGCAGGTTTTCTTTGCCTTTAATGTTTTTCATGCAATGATCAGAAACAGAATATTATGGTTTTCTTTCCGTAATTTGACAGTAAGATTCTACAATGTTTCATTTATTTTGTTAAAAAGCCAAAGCCATATCATGTACAGAGAACCTATTCTTTGAAAAATAGAAAGAAAATAGAGGATTAATATAAATAATGAGATAGTTAGGGAATCAATTACCATGAGCTCTGGAGGCTAAGAGGTAAGGAGTTGCACTGTCAACCCAAAGGCATGCAGTTCAATCCACAGGAGAAAGAGAAACAATCTCCTTCCATGCAAATTATAGCCTCGGAAAATCCACTGGAGGGTCAGTTATGAGTCAGTTCAGTGGTAAATGATAAATAACATTACAATCAAGGCACTGAAATTAAAACTGTATTATCTTGTGATATCTAAAACAATCGAGTATAGTTAAATTGAAAACAACAAGGTAAATCATTAAATTACTTTTATAACAAATCACTTGGAGGGAATAAAATATTTAACTCATAACGAACATATATTTTTTCTATCTTGAATACTATCACTGAGTATGTTCTGGAAATAAAAGGCATATGCAGATTGAAATAGAAAATATAAAGCTAAAACAGATTTAAGGTAAATAATTCCTAGACTTCATGAGGAAAACATATATGTAAACAGCTAATTTGATTTTTATTTTAATTTTCCATTCAATAGACCATTAATTTAGCTATGAAGTCTCTGTTTCATGCTTTTTATCTGTTAACCTGCCCTTACATATTAAAGAATCAAAACAGGCAATTTATTTCAATAAAGGCCTGTGGTTTATACTCAGGCTCTTTTTAGTTAAAAAAAAAATCTCCAATAATAATCACTTCTACATATAGGAAAACAAGATGCTTTCCATCTTGTAACATAACAAACATACACTATAACAAAAGCTACAATATAATTTCACAATTAGTTGATTAATTAATTAAAAGCAGTAATACACATATGTGGTGAAAGAGTTAAAAAAATAGAAAAGTCTCAATCTACAGTGTGCATTAGTAACTGTGTTATGGCATCTAACAACTTCCCTGCACTTTGTAGCCCTTTCATTTTTCTAATTAATCACATAATTAGGGTTACTCTTTTACTGGTACAATAAATATTTTTATAATTTGTTACACTGATATATAAATATGATTAGCTTTAAATTTCTATGCCAGTATAAAAAAAAAGTGTTTATCGACATCTCCCCAGACATCAGTACTTTTAAAAGCAAAGAGAACTATACTTAATTAAATAAGATTGTTCCATTCTATTTCTTGAGGGGAAACACACGCATTCATAGCACACTCTTCTATTTTATTAAAACGGAGATGATGAAAGCATGTCCAGCTACTGGTGGCTTCAACATTTCAAAGAGAAATGTTTTACTCAACTATTTGTTGATACAAATTAAAAAGAAAGTCTGATTTTATCCTTAATCATGATGTGCATGATTCTCAAATGTTTGCTTATTAATCTATGCAGAAGAATTGAGATACTAAAAGAAATATAGATTCTGCCCTGCTTCTTTCTTCAAAATATGCAACACTTATAAAAGATTTTAAAATCAACTACAGAAAAAAGTGAAAAAAAGTGATATCATAAAACAAAAATAAGCATTTGCAAGTAGGTAGAAAGAAAAGGAAATTATTGCTACAGTCCAGAATTAAATCATCAAATAGGTAAGGACATCTGAAACATTTACTGTCCTGCTACATTAACAAAGGCCTAAAATCAAGGCAGCGCTGGTTGTTTAGTGGTAAGGAATTGTACTGCTGATACAAAGGTACAAAGTGTGAATCCACAAGCTGCTCTGTTAAAAGAAGATAGGCAATTACGTCCCGTGTGACTTACTGCCTCTGAAATCTCACTGGAGGGTCAACTGTGGGTCAGTTCCAACTTGACTGTACACAACAACTACACAATTAAGGCTAAAGCAATGAATATAATTTGGGGAAGTAGAGGAGAAAAGTCATTGACTGTATAAAGAAAATTACTGCTCCGGTAGCAAACACCTATGAATGGAAGAGCTATAACGAGGAATGACAAACATGCTCATCAGTTTTGGTCATGCCCTGGAAGGGGGAAAAAGAAGTGGTGAAGACATGAAGATTTAAAAAAAAAATCCCTAAACTACTTTTTTGTTTAGGAAGAGAAGAAAATGAATTTCTTATTATTTGTTATTATTCTAAATAAGAATTCTATGTTAAATTTTTATTGCAGTAGCTGATAATAGAAAGCACATAATGAACAGCAAAGTCTCAAGTTCTAGAAAGATAGACTAAATAAATCATCACTTTTACCATCAAATCAAGGTTAAAATATGAGTATTAATGGGAAAGGAGAATGAAGATAGCCAACATATGATAATCATAAATGTAAAAATATGGTACACGTTTCTCTAAAGAAAAAAGATATAAATTAGGAAGGATGGTATTTTACCCTTTTGGGTGAAAGCTGTTAAAAATTAGAGAAAGAGAGTTTCTATGTTAATCAAACATACAAGCCACTAGTAAAGATTATATGGCAAAGTGTAAAATGACAGAGCAGTGTAAAAATTACTGAGACTTTTTTCTGGCAGAAGTCAACAATAAAAAGACCTATGACCCAAAGTATTATTCTTCTTACTAGGTTTACAATTGTCTTATTTATTGGGGGGATCAAGGAAGAATTGAGTGACAGAAAAATCTAGAATCTACAAATAAAAGCTACTAATGGGAAAACAAATCTTTGTTTCAATAATGAGGGCTACTGTGTTGTTGAGATGCCATCAAGTCGAGCACAACTCATGGCGACCTTATGAACAAAAGATGTGGAAATAAGAATTTCCTAGCATATTTTTCTATTTAAGGGAAATGGGGGGGGGGGAAATTAGTGTTAAAATGACACAGCTACCCACCAGTTTAAGAATGAAGTGAAATAAAACCTTTGTGAAACGAATTCTAATATGCCTTTTAATCCTGATTTTTACTATATTTAGATGAGAAAATATGTATTGTAAGTCCTGAGAAAAATGGACTCCATTAGGTTAATACATTCAAAATAACATCATCAAAGATAACACACCGGTCTATCATAACATTTAGCAACATAATTCACCAAATAATTATAAAAGAGAGGTATCTGTAGTTCATTTATACATATACACATGTATGTAGTAAATGCAGTGTGTATTAATTTATAATTTAAAGCTTTCTTCTTAATTTTACATGTAATTGAACTAAAAACCAATATATATGTATCCAACAGTGTTTAAATTTGACAACTGCTGGACATAACTTAGGCAAATTTAATGTTAACAGAGAAAGAATAAAATACGCATAAAAATCCACTTCACACATACAAACAAATTTGAGGCAAACATGGAAATATGGGCACCCATTTTCAAATCATAAAACAATAAAACATTACACAAGAAAAGTAATTCCAGTACATTTATTTATTTTTTTTACTGTAGTTTAGTGTCATTATGAAATTCAAGTTGTATCTTAAGGATAGCAAAGTTTGAGCAAATTCAAAGCATTATTACATTTGCAATGTTTTTTCTCTAAGTATGACTAATCCTTTAGAACTATATACTTTCTTCAGAACAGCTTATGCCTTCGTACAAAATTTGGATCACGTACCCATGCCTCTGTTTGAATGGGCCTGATGTTGCTTAAGAGCACCTCTTCATAGTTTCCATAATCGATGAACTTAACAACTGCTGTCATGCCAGAAGAATGGAGAGCTTCCACTTCTGCTCGGTAAAACTGAAGAGACAAAAAGAAGTTTTAAATAATGATAATCAGTGTTGCAATAGAGTCCTAATCTTTCAAAACAGTAAACTTCATAGAGCTTTAAATACGCAATATTTATAAAGATAGAACACATACCTTTAGATAATCCTAAAAGCAGCTAAAAAGGGAATTCTCATCCATGTGAATTCTTATATAGAAATAAAAGAATTTCAGAAGAGAACTAAGTGAGTCAGTAGAGAAGATTCACATTCTAATAGGTATAAAAGAACTAGTATGTTTTCTTAGCCACAGACTTTGTTAAAGTTGTAAAACTCTTTATCTACGAATCAGAATATATATGACTATGAAGCAATTTCTTTTTAAAAGATAAATACATGATAAAAATAAATGGCAAAGATGGCTTATTTCTTCAGTCCTGACAGGGGACTAGTGTGAGGCAGGGATATTGAAGAGGGTGTAAGCATATTACTTATATACAGGATTTGTAAGATCTGAAGCACACCAAATTTGAAAATAATAGTTTATCCAGTGTCTCTGGGAGAATGGGTACACATTAACAAAGTTGCAAATAACGAGCTTATATAATAGACGGAAATTTAAGAATGTATTTGAGAATTTGGGGTTTGGCCATCTATTGGACTACTCTAACAAAAGTTAATCTGCTTAAGACATAAATTTTAGGCCTTCAAATTATTTCATGAACATGAAACAAAAACAGAATCATTGGCTCTTATAGAGTACGTTCATCAAGTTAGTATAGTTAGATCTACTTTAGTACTACCTATTCTAGCAAGGTTCAGGGCTGTTGCACATAGGGTCACTATGAGTCACAGGCGACTCATTGGCACATAACAACATCATTCTAACATTGTCTTTTAATTACAGGTTTACCAGATTCAGAAAATGTTTCAAGAAACAGAATTCTTATTTCCCATTTTTAACTGAAACTCACTGTCATTAAGTCAGGGATGACTCCTAGCAACCCTGAATCAAGTTTCCAAGGCTGTGAATGCCCACCTTTCTCTTATAAAATTCTGCCAGACTCAAACCACTAGAAATGTACTGCCTTTGAGTTAGTAGTGCAACTGGATATTAACTATGCCAAAATCAGTTACAATCTCTGTAGTTAGAAAGGTTCCATTTTATTGACTAAGTAGCATATTTCATACAAACTGTGGTAAATCAATCTACGATGTTTCATTTCTGGATATGAAACAAGTTCTTTACCTTGGAATTCACATTCACATCTCCTCTCTGTTTCTCACCTCCACTCCTTTTTGTTCTGTGACTGTTTTTGATTTTTTGTAGAAGTATGCTTTAATTATTAGCCTCCGTTTGCTTAATTATAAAACACATGAAAATTCACTTCTATATAATGTGGAAAATGCATTTAACAGAGATATAGTGACAGGGCACTTAGTAATTATAAAGAGAGTTCTATAAGAAATGAAATGGATGAAGAGGGCTTAACCAAGCAAAGAGAAGGGTATTCCAGGAAAATTAGAAATATATAAAACATGAAGATGAATATAGGAAAGGACATGATTCAAATTCCTTTTGATACAAAGTGAGATAGAGAAAAGTGTAATCAATAGTAAATCAGACAACACATAATACTGGAAGATTTGATTGCATCCTAGATTTTATAATTATCCCTAAGTAAAATGTTTCAGGTAGGGAGAAGAACATGGTCTTTGACTAGGATCACAGTAGGAGTAGTTCAGTGATAAATTTAAGAGCAATAAGACAAGGAGACTAATGGGAAGGTTGTTATACCATTTCAGCTGACAGAAAGGATAAGAAAGTGCAGTCCTGAAGTAGAACTAATTCTCAACTCTATGGAAATAAAGCTAATCTTTCCATAGTACTACAAAGACACTACTAAAATATAGACTGTACTAATTAATTATCTCTAAAACATTACAATGCAATTAAGATTATGGCTCAATTTAAAAAAACACACACCTATTGCTATTTGTTGATTCTAACTCACAGTTATTCTATGTAACAGAACTTCCCCAAGGTGTCTGAGACTGTAATCTCATCCATGTGAATTCTTATATATAAATAAAAGAATTTCAGAAGAGAACTAAGTAAGTGAGTAGAGAAGCAGACTATTACCTTTTACTTTTGCACAGTCATTACTGGACCCAAACATCTGACCTTTAGGTAAGTAGTTGAATGTTTAACCACTACATCGCCACGGCTCATTTTGTTTCTAACAGTTACAGCCAGTTCCTTTTCTTAAATCTCTACCCTATTCTCTACTCAGAACTGAAAAAAAAAATTACCTTTTTTAGACATGACACTTTAGAGCTACCTCCAAAACTAGGTAGTTTTGGCAGGTAATGAATTTCACCTTTTTTATAGGTTTAGTTTGTCTGCTTGTTTGTTTTTAACAACGTGTAAGGTAATGGTGTAATCTGTTTAGAGTCACAATCTGATTTCAACAATGAAAATATTATACAATCTAATATTAAAGTATCATCTTGGAAGATCATGAAATTATTTTAACAGTACTCTAATATACTGCAAAATATTCTGGAAATGTCATGCATTAGCTTTCCAAGTCATTTTGCATAAATTTAAAGAGGCAATTGATAAATTAAGAATTCTTATGATAAGAGCAACTGCAATTAACAATGCAGTTTTATTAAGAAAATGACCAGGAATTTGGAAGCATTTGGGTAACAGCATAGTAAAATTATGTGACAAATCCCAAATACCCAGAAATTAGCAGATATTTAATTAGACTTTTTGAATACTCAGTATTTATTTACTGTATGTGATAGGTCTGTGTAACTGTAGACTTGTTTCTCTTCTCTGTCTGTCTCTCCAATGTATCCTCCTCATCTCTCTCTCTGTTTTTAAACCACACCTTGTAATTTCTACTGGTTGTCAGATATAGCAGAATGTCTGACTTGGGGAAAAAATACTGAAAAGAATGCAACAGAATGCCAGTCATGGAACTACAGAAGAGTAGTGAGAGCCAGCTGAAGGTTGGCGCACACAGATCACATGAACAATTATAGAAAGGTAAGTGATTTTTTTTCCCAGCACCACTTGGTAGTCTTGATGTGGGATAAGGAGGAATGGCTGAATTGACTCAAGGCTGGTATGGTAGAAGGCAGCAATAATGCAGAGTCAAAGAAAGGGCCTCAGCTTTCACTCAAGCTCATACAATTTGGTTTCTGCATCCAGATTTCACCTTACTCAACTCACCTGGCGCAAAGGGCTGCTCCCTACAAGGTCGGCACTGCTGCTTTGATAAGCCAACAGCAATTTCTCCTTTTCTTATCTCAACACAAAGTTTTTTCCAACACAAAGGTGAAAATACTGAATGCTACCCAAAGCGGAGTTTAGGGCTGTTGTACATAGGGTCGCTATGAGTTGCAGGCGACTCGACGGCACATAACAACAACAACAACAACTCAAAGCAATTTGTTTCCAGGAATTTTGTAAAGTGAGTAGTCTGAATTGGAACAGTATTTGCTTTCCAATGCTCCCTTAGAAGCAGGATGAGGTCATGTGAAAGACCTGTTTTGTAAGACTGACATACTTGTGGCCAATTAAGAATTCAGGATTTTTCCCTTGACCCAAGTGGAGGAGAGAAAGGAGGATGCAGATGATGTTTCCTCCTTCAGACAAACTTGAAAGCCTGTGCCATTTTCTATACTACTCTATGCCCTTCTTGATTGTTATCATCAGAGAAGACCAAGTTTACAGTCCATCATCTACACTGGGGCTTGGGGCTCATATCTTTATAAAATTATATTAAATACAGTTTAAATCTGTAGCCCTTCCATTCCTTGTAATCTTTGCTATTATTGTTCTTAACTCTCTTTAGTCACATACTGCTCTGAACATATCCTGGATCTTATCAACTCAAATTACTGTACTTACTAAATGTTCATTTCATTATTTTTCTCTTTGATTGCTTCACCAGCACATCCATTCAAGACCCTCATCCTTTAGCTCCCTTATGTGTGACATTATTACCTTACTGATACCCTCAGTCCCTTCTCACTCTACATTTTCCTCTATAAATGTACCCTTTCACATTAATTAATTAGCATTCCACAAGTAATTATGAGAGCCCACACCGTGAGAGGGCAGGATTACAAACGGAAATGGAACAACTTAATTCTACCTTCAAGGAACTTGAACGTTTAGCAGAAGAGACAGGTATCAATCAATCCAGGAATGAAAAAAATATTTCTAAATTGTAATTATGTTTTAAAAATTGAGTAAATCCCTAACGGAGAAATGAATTAATGTAGCGAGTGAAGCAAAACACAAAAAAGCTTCCTCTTCTAGGATGTGATGTTTGAGTGAAGTGCTCATGTGAGAAGGGTACTTTGCAGAGAAGCATGCTGAAGAGAAGGCAACACCTTCACAAAGACTCCTCTCTCTGAGGGTCTCTCTTCTCCTCTGCCTCCTATGCTTACTGTCTTGGTTTCCCCTGGCCAATGTTTTTTACATTATCTATCAAAAACTCTTCACTACCACATTCTGTCTTTATCTTTTCTTTTACTCTCTTCCTTTCAACTAGAATATAATGTGAAATAAAAAAGTATTTAAATGAGTGATTGGTTTGATCAGCTTAGGTAATCACTGCTTTTACTTTTTTAGCAAGGAAAAAAAGTAGGTCATATATGTGTTTTCTTTAAAGAATTTTTTAAACTGTAGAATTTAACTTTGTGCCATTCAACTGTTTCATTATTATGAATCACTGTAATTAATTAGACATAAAAAGAAACATTAACAGTTCAGTTGATAAAGTAAATAAACTTCAACTTAACCACTTGCACAGTATTTTCAACATCAACTCTAATGGCATATTATGAGACATGTACCTAAGTGTTTTAAAAATACAGTTATGTTATTTTTCTTTTTATACATTAGATATATATAGTCATAGTCACAGGCTTTAAACAGTTATAATTAAAACAAAATTCATAAGATAAAGTCGGTAGCCTCCTATAACATCCCATTAAAATGTTATATTTATTAATATGAATATAGAGTCTTTTCAAAGCAACCATACCTTATTGTCTTCCCAGTAAAGTGCAAAACATTCATCTCCAGGTTTCCACATTTTT